ACACAATTTGATCTTGCAAAAGAAGTTAGAGGTTTAGAGCTGCGGCCGCACACGTTGGTCAGCTGCGGCTACGCCTTCACGAGTCGGCCGAGACTCAGAGGACCCAGACCCATGTGGAAGCTGCTCCCCGCCGCGGGCCCGGCCCAAGAACCATTCAGACTTTTGACTGGTGTCGAATACATTGTTGGACGGAAAAACTGTGGCATTCTAATTGAAGGTGATCAATCAGTCAAAATCATGCTGTGTTAACTGCTAACTTTTCTGTAACCAACCTGAGTCAAACAGATGAGACTCCTATATTGACAATAAAAGATAATTCTAAGTATGGTAGCTTTGTCAATGAGGAAAAAATGCAGAATGGCCTTTTCCAGGCTTTGAAGACAGGGGATAGAGTTACTTTTGGAGTGTTTGAAAGTAAATTCAGAGTAGAATATGAGCTTTTGGTTGCATGCTCTTCTTGTTTAGATGTTTCTGGGAAAACTGCTTTAAATCAAGCTATATTGCAACTTGGAGGACTTACTGTGAACAATTGGACAGAAGAATGTACTCATCTTGTCATGATAACAGTCAAAGTTATCATTAAAACAATATGCGCGCTCATTTGTGGACATCCGATTGTAAAGCCAGAATATTTTACTGAATTTCTTAAAGCAGTTAAGTCCAATAAACAGCCTCCACAAATTGAAAAAAAAAAAAAGAAGTTAGAAGTCTAGATTTTTGTATGAAATCTCATGATTACTGAGCATTGGTAACTCATGAAAATTTGATATGCTGTGGAGGCAAGCCCAAGCAGGCCAAACAAAACACGCTTATGGGCCAAATTTGGCCTGCAGGCTGTCAGTGGGGGAGACCTTGAGGGGTCCCCAGGCCTGCCGGGGAGACAGGTGTGGACACAGGCCTTGCAGCTCAGAGGAGGGCTGGGCAGGGCCAGGTAAGCCTCTGCAGGGGAGTGATGTTTAATCAGCCCTTCGAAGGACAGCGAGATAAGGAGAGCAAGGGCGCTCCAGCAGAAGGAGGAAGGCAGGCAGGGACCTAAGGTCATCTGGTCTGAGCACCCGCTGGTCAGAGCAGCAAAGTGGTTTGGTGTCCGTGGCGGTGGGAGGAGCAGGCTAAGTGGCTGGAGATGCAGGCCGGAGCCCATCTCAGAAGGACCTGGAACAGCGTTCAGACTTTGTCCTGGGGCAAGCAATGGAGGGAGGAGGTTAAGCAGAGGAGCTGGGCTCATCCCTGTGGCAGCAAGTGCAGGGGAGGGAGCTAGATGGGGGGCGTGGGTGCAGCAGGGAAACGGGAGGTCTCGGCCTATGGCGGTGGCTCAAGAGAGGGGAACCACATTTTGGGCCCCTTAAAACCACCCCCACTCACTCCTGACATAGACTCTCCTTGACAAAAGCAGGGTCAGGCCCCACTAAGCCCTCTTCCTAACCAGGCCCTGACCTTGGGCTCTGTCCTTGGCCGGCTTAGTCCCGTTTTAGCCAGAATCCCACTGGGTCAGTTTAGCACGAATCCCTCACCCTTGAAACCCACTCAGATTCCTCATCCTCACCCGGGGCTGCCGGTGAGAGTCCAGTCAAGTCGGGTTAGCGGGAATCCCTCTAGCTGTCCTCGTTTCCTCTTAGTAATTTCCCCCCATCGACCCCACCCTGCGCCTCCACTCTAGCCCCCCTCTTTGCCTTGTGGCCTGAGCCCCATCTCTCTCCCCTCAGGCCAACCCCCCCATTGCTGTGGCCCCTTGAATAAAGAAAGCGTGCCTTGCTGTCTTTAACAGGTGCCACGACCAAGTTTTCCTTAACACCTGGCCACAGCCAAGGCGATTTCACCTGTTAGTGGCTATTTGAAAATACCTGTCCTCTCCAAGGGGTCGCCTAAGGAGTTTGCATTTGTTTCAATCTCATCTGCAGCTTGAGTACAAGGCTGGTGAGGAATCAGCCAGAATTTCTGATCTTCCCTGCGTGGCCCCAGATCTGTAAGGATTTGTGTCTGAGCAAATGGCAACTCTGTCCTTGGAGGAGCTCCTGCCAAACAGCCCAGGGGTGTCTTTACACCTTATGTTTGATCCTTGAGCAAATCTTGCTGGACCTGCTTTGAAAATGGACCCAGAGCCTCCACTGCCTTTGCCACCCCCCTGGGCAGAACCACCGGCATTACCTTGCCTGGAGTTACTCACTGGCCCCTAGCTGGTCCTCTTCTTCACGCAGCTGCCAGAAAGGTCCTGTTATACCCTAGGTCAGAGCCGCTTGAGGCTCCCACCCTACTTGGGGTAAAAGCCATAGTCCTCGTAAGGGCGTACCCAGACCATGATCCTCACCCTCTCCCCATCACCTCTGCACCCTTGTTTTCTGCTATTCTCCTCGCTGCCCGCTCAGCTCCAGCCACACTGCTCTCGGAGTTATCGGTCTACCTCAGGGCCTTTGCACTGGCTACTCCCACTTCCTGGAAACTCCTTTCCCGGGATGTCCCTGTGGCTTGCTCCCACTGTCCTTCAGGCCTTGGCTCTAATGTCATCTTCCCAGTGAGGTCTTCTCGAAACCCTGCTTTAAAATCCCAACCTGCTCCCCTCATTTCTATCCCTGCCCCCTGCTTTATTTCTGCCCTTAGCTTTTAACACTTGCATACCCTACATCATAGGTATTAATGTTTGTGTTCTCTTTTCTCCCCGGTTCTGAGCATCCAGTGCGTGCTCAACGAGTGGAAGGACATTGCAACCCCCCTCTGTGCTTCCTCTGGGTATTTCTGAAGAGGGTGTGATCCCTGAGACATATTTCGGTTGGGATCTGCTGGCTTCGAATGCCCAGGACAGAGTTCCTAGCCTGAAGGTCACCTAGTCCTGCCCACATGTCCATTGTCACAAGCCTCCATCTGAGGGACTGATTTTCAAAAGTGTACGGACACTCCTGCGATGAATATTGCACACCTATTTAAAAGTGATACTGAAGGGCGCCTGGGTGGCTCAGTTGGTTAAGCGACTGCCTTCGGCTCAGGTCATGATCCCGGAGTCCTGGGATCGAGTCCCGCATCAGGCTCCCGGCTCAGTGGGGAGCCTGCTTCTCCCTCTGACCTTCTCCCCTCTCATGCTGTTTCTCTCTCTCTCTCTCTCTCTCTCAAATAAATAAATAAAATCTTTAAAAAAAATAAAAGTGATACTGAAGTCCTTGCAGGTTTTTGGCCATGATATATTTTCTCTGTCAACCCATACCCTCAACTCCGTGATTATTGAGTTCCCAACTCAAAATAGTTGGGAAGGCCTTGTGTCGGGCCAGAAAAGGGATCTAATGAAGGAGTCTGGAGACCCCTGGCCATCCTTCATATGAGTTCCTGCCAGGGACATTGCCCATAGTTACTGTCACCCACCAGCTGACCGTGAGCACAGGTTCACCCACCCGAATAAGGCCATTCATACTTTGTTGACTTCTGCAAGCCCTGCCATTCCACAAGATGGGGGTTTTTGGAGCAGCTCTCAGCTTGGGCAGAATTCAAATGAGCTCTTGCAATCAACATGCAATCAATTGTTGTACACCCTGGGCATCTGGGCCCCATGCACTGCTGGTGTTCGGGTCACCTCAGAGCCGAGGTGGGGCTGGGGGTGCTTACAGTTGGGCAATCCCACTTTGCACAAGAGAGCTCAAAAGGGTTTGTGGGAATTTGGTCCACTGATCTTGGTTCAGATGTTAATCATAGTGGCCGGCATTTATTGACCACCTACTATGCTCCTAATGCTTTTTTTAAAGGCACGATCTCATTACAACAGCCTGATAGGCCTCCCCCCTTTTTATTCTTTTTCTTTTCTTTCTTTTTTTTTTTTTTTATAGGTATTGAGGCTCCCAGAGGTTAAGTGACATGTTCAAAGCCCCCAGTGGGTCAAGTCCCAGAACGTCCTGACCCCGAAGTCAGTATTCTTGTTTGTTTGTTTTCCCCCCTGAAGTCAGTATGCTTAACCATTCTGCCCCCACCCCAACCTTGAAGTTTCTGGGTAGACAGCCTCTGTAGGGCATCCCTACCTAGCAGCTACAACTTTGTGTCCAGACCTCCCTGGGTCATGCTGCCCTGGATCTCAAGTGGGGATGGCCTGCAGGAGGAAGCCTCATTTGTCATACACAGCACCTGGCATCCAGTGTGGGGCACTTCTTTGCCACCTCTGCTGCTGTCCCATGCCATAATAGAGCCCGGCTGACTGGAGCTTCCACCTGCCAGAGAAGTCCTTCCTTTTGGTTTACACTAAGTCCCCCTGGGTGACCCCCAGGGAAAGCACAAGCCCCAAAGACTCTACAACCCTGAGTGCCTGGAGGGACACCCCTTCTGATGGGTCCGGCGAGTCCAGGTCCCGCAGAAGGCATCCCTTTCAGCTGAGCCTGAAGCTCCCTGGCTATGGGAAGCCCAGGAAACTTTGCAGTCCTGACCCTTTAGGGCTCCTTCCTAGGGCTCCCTCCTGCCGGTCCTTGTCCCTCTTGGGGAGCCCAGCACGCTCTACTGAGTAGGATGCCCCCTCCTGGCCGGGTTTGTGGCCCCCTCTCTCCCCTCCCACGCCGTCCCCCGCGGGGAGCTCCTTTCTCCGAGAGCGCCTTGCCTGGCATTCTCCTTGCTTCTCAGCCCCTCCAATCGGGTGCGGGGCTCCTCGGGGGCGCCCCTTCTTTCCGGGTCCCCCGCCCGCGCCCGGCGTGGGGCGCCCCCTCTCCCTGCTTAGGGCGGGCGCCGCAACAGTGTCGCCGGCCGCCTGCAGGTGTCTCCCCACGGAGGGGCGCGCGTCCCTGCGCCGCGGCCGCTGCCAGGCGCCGGCGGCTCCTCGTCGAGGTGCACTCGCGCTCCGGGCTCCGGGCGCGCGGGAGCCGCTCCGCCGCCGCCGCCCGCCCCCCGCGCCCCCCGCGCTCCCCGCGCCGCGCCCTCACCCCGGGGAGGGGCGGGGAGAACCATGGGCCCGCGCCGCGTCCGCCGCCGCCGATCGCAGGCGCCCGAGCCCCGGGGCGCGGCGGGCAGTGGCCGCTGACGCGGGGCGCCGGCTGCCAACTTCGCGCGCGGAGCTCCCCGGCGGCGCGGTCCCGGCGGCGCGGGCGGCATGAAGACGAGCCGCCGCGGCCGAGCGCTCCTGGCCGTGGCCCTGAACCTGCTGGCGCTGCTCTTCGCCACCACCGCCTTCCTCACCACGCACTGGTGCCAGGGCACGCAGCGGGTCCCCAAGCCCGGCTGCGGCCAGGGCGGGCGCGCCAACTGCCCCAACTCGGGCGCCAACGCCACGGCCAACGGCACCGCCGCCCCCGCCGCCGCCGCCGCCGCCGCCGCCGCCGCCGCCGCGGGGAACGGCCCCCCTGGCGGCGCGCTCTACAGCTGGGAGACGGGCGACGACCGCTTCCTCTTCAGGAATTTCCACACCGGCATCTGGTACTCGTGCGAGGAGGAGCTCGGCGGGCTCGGTGAGTGAGCGGCGGCGCCGGCGGCGGCTCGGCACCCGGCTACCCCCACACCCCTCCCCGCCCCGGGCGGCGCGGCCCCCGCGGCCCGAGCCCCCGCCCAGCGCTCCCTCCCGGCGGCCGGCCGAGGAGCCCCGCGCTCCGCAGGGCTCGGCCGCACGCCCTGGCACGGGGTGCGCGCGGGAGCGGGCCCGGGGAGAGTGGGGGGCGGCCGGGACGCGCAGCCGTGCCGGGGCTCCGGGCAGAGCTGCTGCCCTTTCCGAGCGCCGGGCGCCTTTGGGGACGTCGCCGCGCCCCGGGGAGGCGCGTCTCCCGGGCACCCAGCCCAGCGGCCGGTCGGCGGGGCGCGCGCTCCTCTCCGCGCCAGAACTCGTCTCTGGGCTCGCCCCCTCCCCCGCCTTCGTTCGCGGGGCACCGGCTCCCCCTTCCCCGCCCGTCCCGCCTAGGGGAGGACGCACCGACTGCTGCTCCGAGGCGCCCCCCCCCACCCCGCTCCGCTCCGCACCGCAGATCCCCGGAGCCGGGGGCGGGGGTGGGGGGTGTCGTTCTCCCAGACGGAGCTCGGGCAGCAGGAGAGTCGGGGGTGCGGGGAGGCCGGTGGGTTCCCGGCGGGGAGCCCTTCGTGTCCTGGCCCCCGCCCGGGAGAGGATGGAGCGGGAGGGGGGCGAGGCGGCGGGAAAGCGGGACCGCTGGGCTCGGCTCGGATCAAAATTGGTGGTGGTGGTGGTGGGGTGACTTTTCAGAAGGCCGATCAAACTGCACCCTTTGCCTCGCTCCTCTTCCCGTGCCCGCCCCGGGGCAGCCAGGGCGGAGTGAGTGCCCCCGAGGCGGGCAGTGAGGCCGTGGGGGAGGGGGCAGTGCAGGGCCACACCACCCACTACCTCCCAGATCGTATTGTGCTCTAGGTCGGGGCGTGGGGACCCTCTTGAGTGAATTGACCTCTCTCCCCAAGGTTAAAAGTCTGTGCATGCACAGCTCTTCTGCGCTCAGGGACGTGGTCCATGTGGGTACCCCGATGTCCATGGGGGTGGGTGACAACGGAGTTTGCTCTGAACAAGCTGTTGGCCTGATTGGTTGTCTAAAGGACAGAGAGACAAGAAGGTGTAAAATAAACCCAAGGAGGCTGCTCCCTCTGCCTGGAATTCCCTTCCCCACATCTTCCCTGGCCGGCTCCTCCTCACTCCACTGGCAGGTCCCCACCCGGCTTGCCAGGCAGGGTCTTCCGGAGAGAAGACCTCCCCAGCCCCTCTGGAGGCAGGGTCCCCTAACTTTGTCTCTTGTCACCACCTTTAGCTTCTTCATCATGCTTGGCACAACCTGAGATTTTCTGGATCCTGCCTCTGGTCACTCGCCTCCTGTCCCCTGTCTCCACAGGATGTCCCTGTGAGGGCAGGGCCTGGGTTGCCTGGTTGGCGGTCATCCCCAGCCTCTGGGTAGCATCTAGTGCATAGGAGGTCATGGGTACATTTTGGTGGGATTCATGTTGGATGAGGGCCTGGGATGATAAACCAGCGGTTTCCTGGGGTGCCGTGCCCTCTGCCTTGCCTCTGGAGGTGCTTGCTGAATTTTTCTGTGACCACCTGCGTGATGCTAGCCGTTTGTCAGACACCCTCTGTTTGAATAGGCTTCCACCTCTGACCAGTTTCGCTCCATCAGACTCCCTTCTGATGTGCACTCAGAACTCACATCTTTACTCTGGGATGTAAAAAAAGAAAAAAAGAACCTCAAAAGGCATCTTGGCTAAAATTTTCTGCTTTCCACTCAGTCTGACCCTGATCTTTTCCACGGAGGCCTCGTAATGTCTTATCCTGGGGAACATCTGCACCTTTTGGGGTAGAGGCCCCCACACATCACCTCCACTTGTCACCAAGTTTCTCCTTTGTGTAGAAGCACAGCCTCCTTGTCCTTCCTTTACGCACATACTTAACAACCCAAGGCTGCGTCTCTGGAGTGGTCCAGTCTCTGCCTCTGTGGGGTGTCCCGGCCACCGATGGCTGGCTGGGTCTCTTCACTGGGGTCTCTCCTGGCTTTTCCCTGAAGGTCACGGCCCCACCTCTTGTGGTGATTTCCCTGTGCAGCGCGCATCTGTGTCACTCATCCGGGGCTCGACACGGGATGTTTAAGCCTGAGCAGTTTTAAAAATCATTAATTGAAAAACATTTAAAGCAATGTTGGCTTACATTTATTGAGCCCTTAATGCGCACCAGGCACTGCTAAACTTCTTACCTGCCAGATCTTGCTGACTCCTTGCCAACACCTCCGTGGCAGGCCCTCCTAGGGTGCCTACTCTTCAGATGAGGAATTGGGGGTTCAGGGAGGTTTTTGTCCAGGCATTCCAGCTGGTGAGGGGGCCCTGATTATCTTCGGGGAGAGAAGGGCATCAGGGTGAAGTGAATGATGCTGTTGGGGGATCCGGGACGGGCACCGTTTTGGGGGGGTTCTCCACCAGAGACCCTCATCCCCAGTCCTCTGTTCGTAAAAACACGGGTGCTTAGTTTGTTGGGTAAATAAAACAAACCCACAGTTTTCCCTTTTCTCTTGATCGCTGTTGGCTAGAGATCGCCCCTCCCAGAAAATCACAATTTTCCTCCCCGAGAGCTTGGAAAATAGTTATCAGCCTGTCAGAGCCGGTGAGAAATTGGGGAGGTCTGCGCCAGCTTGGATGGTTTCCCTGGCTGATCCCACAATGCCCAAATCCTGCCTCACCACCACCTCCATGGTCCTGTGAGGATGTCAGGGAGTACCTGGCCTCAAACTTTTGTTGCTATGACAACCTTTCTTCTGTGTTCTGTGACCATTTTGTAATTTATTTTTTACTGAGGAGAAGGAAAAAGAATGCCCCAACACCCCCACCGCCCCATAAAAAAATCCTGCGCTCCTCTCTCCCCACCCCTGAAACATCAAGGACCATGTTCTTTCCCTCCCGCCCAAACTACAGGGACGGCTTGCTTTCCTTCCCAACGTTTTACGTTCACCCCAGCGAAAACACCAACCATGAAATCCTGACCTCTCCGTGAGAAGCAGCTGCTAAGTGTTCCTTCCTCTCCACCGCTTGTTCGGTAATTTCTCTCTGTGCCCAAAAGAGCCTCTCCCCGCTCTGGGCAGCCACAGGAAAATCTAATAAGCCCTTTTACCCACATGAAAAAGTCTACAGCGTTTACAAAGAAAACTGCAGCCTGTCCTAAACAGACACGATCTCACCAGACCGGGCACAAAGAAAGCTTTTCTCCTTCCTCCAAGAAGGAGCATTAACCTCCTTCAACAAACAGAAAGGGAGCTTGGCCTTGACACAGAATTAGCCCGAGCCCTTCACGCAAATTGGATTTCTCTTCTGTATTAGATGCTCAGAAGGGCTGTGTGGTTGCCCGTTGTTGGCATCCTGGGGGCGGGGGCAGCGTAGGAAAGATCTGGAGAAGGAACAGGGAAGGTCTGGGGGTGGGGAGATGGGCTGGCGGGACGTGTGGTTGTACCAAGTGGGAGCACAGGTGAGGTTGGGCTTCATCTCGCATGTGTTTGAACCTGAGTAAGTAGGTGACTCGGGAAGTCTTGGAGGGGTGGCAGGGCAGGGTGGAGGAGGGCTTGCCGGGATGCCTGGAGGGAGGTGGGACTGAGGCAGCCGCAGGGAAGGGAGGGACGGGTCACAGGAAGCAGGAGCACTGTTTCTCCCGGGATGGGTGGAGCAACGCCATTTGTGAAGGACGGAAGCTTCTCGAGTCTCCTGTTGGCAGTGTGGTTCGGGCAAGAGCCTCAGTTTGCTCCCCTGTAGAACGGGGATCAGAGCAGGTGGCACTGGTTGGAGGTGGGAATATTCAGGGAAATAGTGTGGGGAAGGTGCCGCACACCTGCTGGGTGTGTGAGTGCCCCCTGCCACCTCCAGAGGGCCGCCACCCTCCTCTCTCCCGTACAGTTCTGCAGCGGTCACCCTGCTTCCTTCGCTGACCCCACTCAGTAGGCTCTCCACCCAGCCCCACAGCAATGGCCAGATCCTGTCCCTCCTTTGTTCAGCCCCCTCCGGTGGCCCTGCTGTCACTTAGAGTCAAAGCCCCATCCTCCCATGGCTCCTCCCCAGCTGTGCCACTTCTCTGGGCTCCCCTGCCCCCCCATCGTGGTCACTGATGGTCCCTTCCACACTGGCCCCCAAACGCCAGGCACACTCAGCCTCAGAGCCTTTGCACTGGCCCTTCCCTCTGCCTGGAATGCTTTTCCCCTAGATGGCCGCAAATCTATTTCTGGAAACTTCTTCAAGTCAGTGCTGAGCTCTCTCTGAGCACCCAGTTCAAAACTGATCTCCCCACACGTTTCCTGCTTGCTTTTTCTTCTAGCACTTGCCATGGACTTTACCTCGTCTGTTTTGTGTATTGCCCACCAGCTCCGTGAAGGTGGCAGAATCTGCGTTTATCTGCTTGATTCACTGTTGCTTCTTTAGTGCTGAGGACACTGGCACACAGTAGGTGGTCAGCGAACATTTGTGGGATGAATGTTGGTTGCTGTTAGGACGGTTGCACTTTCTCGGGCTCCAAGTGTCTTCTTCCCCTGCAGTGAGGCAGGGGGCCAACCGGGCACACCTCCCCTTTCACTGAGGTGTCCACTACACACACCCCGCCTTTACACACCCAGGTGCTTGTGGGGTGGGGCCATTCTCACGCAGGAGGAGAAAGCCCCTAGCTGAGCCCCCCTTTCTTGCTTCCCCTTCTTTTCTACAGAAAACCCCAGATCTTCTTCTGCCTGTTCCCTTCAGTTAGGCCACTACCTTTTTCACGAGTATGAGGACAGATATGATGTCCCCACCCAGGAGGCTTCTAGCGCTGAGAGCGTGTCAGTGTAATATCAGATGGGCTTTGTGTTAGGCTCGTCCGATGGGCGAGGACTCGGACTTTGAAAGGCGTGGCTCTAAGCCAAGATCAGTGTTGTTTTCTTGCATTTCCAGAACAGCTCACTGACAGCCTAGTGCCATGGTTACACCTATTTTCTGGGGCACAGAGAGATGAAGTGACTTGCCCAAG